AATGACCCAAGCATTGTATGCACATATGAATAATAAAACAATTTTAAAAAATGAAAACAAAAGGGCAGAGGGTATAGCTCAAGAGGTAGGACACTTGCCTAGCAAGCAGGGAGCCTTGTGTTCAATTCTCAGTAACCACCAAAAAGAAAAAAAGGGATAAAAATGTTAAGTGAGGCAATAGTATCTAAGAACAAGTGTCTTAGGATCAGACAAGCTGAAGACCCTCCTATAGTAACATAGGCATCACGGACTAGTATATTGCTGTTACATATTAGCATCGTAAGATTATCGTAAGGATTAAATGACACCATATCATATAAAGGGCTTGGAACATGGTGCCAAATATCTTTAAGCTGCTTTGTTTTAGCATAAATCAGAATAAACTAAACAATATATATCTTACAAGTCTGAGAGTTGTCCTTTGTTTGATGAGTTTTAAATCCTGGCACTAATTTCTATGGAGGCAGGTAACCTGTTCACTCCCATACCTCAAGTCTGACCAAATGGTCTTGAATGGTTCTAAATCAGAAGTTCTTAAAATGTGATACATCAATTCCTGCAAGTTCCAAAGAGTCTTTGGGGGACTACTCAAAACGATTTTTGTAATAATTGTAATGACACTAATTCTTATTTTATTGAGTAAGACTAATTTTATAATAAATGCCTAATACCACTTTGTTTTGATCTTTTTTTTTTTCCCTTTGGGTTTGAACTCAGGGCCTCACACTTGCTAGGCAGGCGCTCTACCACTTGAGCCACTCTGCCAGCCCTACTACTTTGTTTTCAACTGTGTTGTCATTTGCACGGATGGTACAAAAGCGGATGTGGATGACACTACTGATACCTCGGCATGACTAAAGACAGTAGTACTATGCTAATCAGGTTTCTGTTGCTATAACAAATACCTGAGATGATAACTCAATGGAGAGAGAGAAGAGATCAGGGTCTCACAATTCTTTTCAACAGCATACCCTAAATGACCTAAAGACTTCCCCCGAGGTCTCAGTACTGGGGCTTGAACTCAGGGCCTCATGCTGGCTAGGCAGGTGCTCTACCACTTGAGCCATGCCACCAGACCTGCTTTGTGTTGGGTTTTTTTGAGATAGTGTCTCATGAGCTCTTTGCCCAGGCTGGCTTCAAGTTATAATACTCCTGGTCTCTGCCTCCCAAGTAGCTAGGATTATAGGATTATATGAGCCACCAGGGCCCAGTGAGGCCTCATCTCTTAATGTTTCTACCACCTCCCAACACCATCATGCTGGGGATCAAACCTCTAACACACAGGTCTTTAGGAGACACTTAGGGTCCTAACCATAACAGGTGCCAAGTGTACGGGCAGCCATGTTCTTTATTCTTCACTTGCATGTGTTCATGGAAAGAAAAAGAAAAGCTAGCATCACTTAAGAATAACCCTGATGAAGCAGTACTTTTTATTAAATCTAGGTCCTTGAGCACACATCTTTTTTTTTTTATATTCTATGTGATGAAATGGGAATTATCCATAAAGCACTTCTGCTGTATGATGATGGTCTTAGGTAAGGCACTTATACTATGCTTTGAGTTGTGAGCTAACCCAGCCATGTTTTTCATGGAATACCATTTTTACTTAAATGAATGAATGGCAACCTAGGGTACACAGATTTGGGTTATTTGACAGACATTTTCTCAAGAATTAATAAGTTAAGACATCACATCAAGGAAAACAATTGACAATGTCTGTTAGCTATGATAATATTCCACTTTTCTAGTGAAAATAAGAATGTTTACCTCATGAGCTTAACAGCTTTCTGATATTTAAAGACTTTTATGATGAGACAGTGATATTAATAAATGTCATTGTTTTGATATTGTATAAAATGACATGTGGCAATATTTGGGAGCTTTGCATAACTCATTGTACTGGTATTTCCCAAATGACCAATGCATGCCATTAGAAAATCTATCATACGTAAGTAAAAGATTCATTTGAAGGGTAGATAGACCAATGGAGTTCCTAGAGATGGTTTTAAATTCCACACTGCAACTAGTTTTAAGAAACTGTCACTTGTCAGATGTTGGTTTAATATCAAAGAAAAATATCCACAATGATCTGAAAAGATTATCAAAATATTCTTTTTTTCTCAAGTACATATCTTTATGAGACAGATTTTATTCAAATATTTAAACCAAAATAAAATATCACTAAGTGAAGCAGACATAGTTTTCTGTTAAAGTAGACATTACAAAAATTTGAAAATGAAAAATAATGCTGTCCTTCTCATTAACTTTTTTAAAATTTGGGAATATACTATCATTATTACAAGGATATATTCTGATAACATACAATAGGTTTATTATGAGAATTTTAAATAAATTAAATATTTAAAATTGCTTTACCTTTTAATTTTTGATATGGCAAATATCAATATCTACATCTATACAAACTAAAGATTTTTGATGTTTTCAATAATTTTTAAGTGATTCTGAGACCAAAAAATTTAAGAACCATTATTCTAGTTAGTTTTCCACTCTTAATCTGGTCTCCTTTGGCCATTTACAGGATGATAGGGCTTAAGACCAAACCTACAGTAAGAAATGATCATTTACCAGTTAGGTAGGCAGTGGAACATTGGTTGGAAATTCAAGAGTTAACACCCAAATAGTTCATTGTCACAGTAACAGCTAAGTCTAACATATCAGGACCACAGAGCTCAAGGGTAGCAAGCCAGTCTTTTTTAGAAAGATAGGATGCCTGTTTGCATGGACTAAAAACAAGTAGCTGACACATCTTTTGATTAGGAATCCTGTTAGTTCTCCATATGCGTGCCTCTGTATAGATTAGGGAGTAATTTGTCCTTTTGTGATTCAAACAAGACAAAAGGGAGCTGCAACTGGATCTCACCAGGGCCCACAATTTCTGGTCAAGGGAGATCACAATCAAAAGTGTTAGAACAATGTACTGCTTAAATGATACCATGACCAAGAGTAGACATTTAGCTCTAAGACTGATGTGGCAACTCCTTAATTGTCTGTTTCCTTTCCAAAGCCAGCGCTGGAGCTCAGGACCCTTTGGGTTCTTGCCTTTAGTCTGAGGGTAGATTGTGATATCTGAATATGGTTTAGACTCTGTATTTAATATGGGATAAGAACCAGAGGAAACATTTCAGCTTCTTAATGTCCTAAAACTTCCATCTCACTAGGATGAAAAGAGTCAAAGTATGCTCTAACTAAAAAATGGGTTGTCATCCAACAGGAAAAGAAAAGAAGGAATTGTTTCTGAAAATAGGAGACGCAAAGCATCACCAAAGAGGTCAAAGTTAGAACCGAATGAAAGCCACCCATTAGACCCTTCAGTCCTTCTTTTGATCACTTCAAGAAGCTTTCCATCTATATTGATCATCTTCTATATTGATCCATCTTGGTCATAAATTACCACTTAACTTTCCTCAAGACTGGTCCATTACTGTGAATCCTGCAGTCAGCCTGTCTGGACCTGAATCTTAGGCCTGAGTTTCCTTCTCTGTAAAATGGGAAGAGTGACAGCACTTACTTTATAACGTCTTGGTGAAGATTAACATAACGTATAAAAGCCGTCCAGGACACGACACACACTAAGTGCCAAATAAGCGGTAGTTGTTATCGGTAAGATTCTTTGCTTCGTATTCCCATCTGTGACCTGTTTGGTTTTTTTCTTTCTGGTTTTTGCACATTAAACCCTTTCTGGCTGTTGATGGAAGCATCTGGTCCTTCATATCCCTGAGTCATCATCATTAAGATGCCGGGCTCCCCAAGTCATCCCTCCTCCTTCTGCTCTCTAGGGCTCCCTCTCCTGACTGCTTAGCCCTCGTGAGGGCCCAGACCTAAATTCCGTGACAACGAATCTCTCGGGGTTTGGCTACCTGTCTTACAGGAATGTCCCCGTCTCTTTGGCCCACAGACCAGCTAAGAAACGGAGACAAAACAGCCCTGAAGGACTCAGCCTCACCCCGGCCCCAAGTAGGATCAAGGCTGGGGGCGGGGCCACGCCCGGAGTGCAGAACGAGGCTGGGGGCGGGGCTACACGCCGAGGTGAGCGTGCTGGGGGCGGAGCCACACTAAAGGTGGAAGCGAGGCTGTGGGCGGAGCCTCGCTGGGAAAGGGGCTCCAGGCCAGAGTGGGGTGGGGGGGACGGGATCCACTCGGGACGCGCCAGGCACTCCGCGGGCGGCGCGCGCAGCCCGACCCCCGGCTGAGAGGCATCGCAGGGGTTAAGGCGACCGGCGCCACCTGGGAGTCGCTGAGGAGACTCGCGCTCTGGCGAATCCCGCACGGACGCAGCGAACAGGTGCCCGCGCGCGTCAAGCGCCGGCAAGGGGCGGGGAGAGGGGCGCGGCCGGAAGCTCCGGGCGGGGTGCGGCCGGCCGGGTGAGCAAGAGCAGAGCCTGCAAGGCAGGAAGGAGCTCCTGGGCTGCGCGGCGCGCAATGTGGAGCCGTCGCTTCGGCCCCTGCAGCAGCCGCCGCCGTCGCTGCTGCTGCTGCCGGGGCTGCCGCCGAGCCGAGGGACATGGAGCGCGGCTGCAGAGAGCGGCCGCCGCCAGCAGTAGCAGCAGCGAGCATCGCAGCGACAGCGGAGCGCAGTCCGCCCCGTAAGGCGCTGCCCGGCCGACGGCGGCAGCAGCAGCAGCAGCAGCAACAGGGCGGCTGAAAACCCGGCGGCGGCGCAGCAGCAGCGCTCTTCTTCGCAACCTCTCCTCCCGCTTCGCGCCCTCTTAGCCTTCCCTTCCGCACCCCCTCTTCTCTTCCTCCTCCTCCTCCCCCAAGCGCGCGCGAGCAGCTGAGCCCGGGGGCGGGGGCGCGTGCCGCCGGCGCGGGGGAGGAGCGGGCCGGCGCGCGCCGCGCCCGGGGCTCGCGGGGACCCGGGGGGCGCGTGCCGCGGCGCGAGGCAGAAGCGCGGGGCGGCGCGGCGGGGCCCCTCCCCCCTGCAGCCTGGCGCGCGCCGGCCGGGCCGCACCGCGCCGCTGCGGGCTCCGCGCCTGCGGGCCATGTCCACCTTCTGCCTGGGCTTGGCCGGCCTCGCTTCAGCACCTGCGGAGCCGGACAGCGCCTGCTGCATGGAGCTGCCCGCCGCGGCCGAGGACGCAGTCCGGAGTCCCGTCGCCACCACCGCAGCTGCCGCCGCCGCCCTCATCTCCTTCCCCGGGGGTCCCGGGGACCTGGAACTGGCGCTAGAGGAGGAGCTGGCGCTGTTGGCGGCCGGGGAACGGCCGTCCGACCCCGGGGAGCATTCTCAGGCCGAGCCCGGGCCTCTAGCCGAGGGGGCTGGACCGCAGTCGCCGCCGATCCAAGACCCCGAGCTGCTGTCGGTGATCCGGCAGAAGGAGAAGGATTTGGTGTTGGCGGCCCGGCTGGGCAAGGCGCTGCTGGAGAGGAACCAGGACATGAGCCGGCAGTACGAGCAGATGCACAAGGAGCTGACCGACAAGCTGGAGGTGAGGACCTCCTTCCCAGGATGGGTGGGCAGCAGGGGGCAGCCCAGGCATATCCCCTTATCCCTGGGTAGTTGGGGAATCACTGCCTCCCCTTCCTCTTCCGTGCTCACCCTGCCTCGAAGAAGATCATCTGGAATGAGAGGGAGGATGGAGAGTTGCTGATCCAGGCATAATTGAACCCACCCTGCTCACAGCTATGGGTCCGTGCACGGCTCCCGCTCCTGTGGCCGTTCTATATATGTACTGTACATAGCATCTAAAATAGAGCTTACAGTATGACTAATTTATACAGCGCTGAGGCGACGTCTGCACACACACAAATGAGAAACTCGGGAAGCATTCAAAATATGCCCCAGGTTTTCAGGGAAGTAGTTAATCTCTAATCAGGGTGTTAGCCTTACAGCTTTCCAGTTTTGGCATTAGGGCCTCTGGATGCCCTTGTCTTAACTCCCTGGCAGCTCAGAGTTGTGGGAAACAAGTGCTCCTAAAGGAGCTTTATATAGCTTTCAAATACTCAGGGATTAGGAAATGTGGTTCCATTGCAGAAATCAGGCGAGGCAGGGCTCAACATGTGATCGCTGGTAGTGATTTAATTTGGGCCTGGGTAGTGAGGTGTGTTTAAGCAGCACTTTTCTGTGTTTGGGGTTTCAGGCTTGCAGTTGGATGCCAGATGCAACCTGAGAGAACCTTATTGCTTAAACAATAGTTATAAATTCCTTTTAAAGTATCCGTAATATTTCTACCAATTTCCTGGACTTTCAGAGTTATGTCTGTTTTTTATCTTAACTACAAAGTGCCTTGAATGCAGTACAGAATGCTAACATTCGTAAAAAGTTGCAAGAAGAAAACGGTGGGGGGAGAAAGTATTTATGGCAGTGGAGACAAACTTACCCTTTTCTGCCTCTGCATCTATTATTGTTCCCTGGTTTGGCTGCGACCAGGTCTTTTCATTCTTAGTTATGAGAAAATAGTACAGACCTGAATAAGGTCTGAAATTAACCCTGGTTGGTTTCCATATCCCTGCTATTGATTGGACAGTCAGAATGTGAATTCAGAAACATTTCTGTAATAAGATTTAAGTGCGTCTGTAGTCCAGCAACATATCAAAAGTAAAATCAAGGGACAAAAGGAAACCAGTAAGTGCACCGTAGTTCAGTTGGCCTGCTAACTAGGTCTGCCAGTAGATGAACCCCTGAGATACGTCTCTCAAAAGTCGTCTGTGAAACCTATGCACAGACTGCCAAAAAGTAACCCAATGAATTGAATTGTTTAATTTTCACTTGAAGTGAAAAGTTCTAGACCTCTACTCCAAGTAGAGGGCCAGAAATAAAGGGTGGCTTTTTTTTCCCTAAAGAGATTTGATTACATGACTCTGTAAAGAAGTACTACTGTAGAGATTTATACTTGTGATTTGAAATTCCTTCAGTGAGGGACTTGATTGAAGAGACAGGTAACTTGAAAGAAACGTATCAGTTTGATTAGTGGTAGATTTCACAGTAACCCTGAGTGTGCAGTTACACATCCTGGTTTCCATGTGGAGCCTTTATACATTTCTTCGACAAAGGAAAAAGATTTCAGAATTCCACTGTAACAAAAAGGGTTGTATTGTAAAGAATTACCTTTGACATTTCATAATTGACTTAATGGGCAATAATAAAATAACTGAAGGCTCTTTATTATTTAAGGTCTTCGCTCCTCTGCAAGTCAGCATGTGAACTCTGGTGTTAAATTAATTTTTAAATTTTGGAGGTTGGTTGATAGTACTGAGAATGTACTTAACCTTACTGACTTATACACTTAAAAATGGATAATTAATGAAAATTATATTTTATCTATACTCTATCACAATTTAAAAACTAACTTTAAATTTTTAAAAGCTAATGCTGGTTCTAGAAATTTTTCTAAGTTTTTTTTTTTGGTTTTTTGTTTTTTTTTTTTTTGAGATGGGGTCTGACTGTGTTGCCTATGTTGATCTTGAGCTCCTTGGACTCCTAGCTTAAAAAATGTTGCCATTAGTTGCTTTTATTTGTGGGACTGGGGTTTGAACCTCAGGGCTTACACCTTGAGCCAGTCCGCCAGCCCTCTTTTGTGTTGGGTATTTTCAACATAGGGTCTCTTGAACTGTTGGCCCAGGCTGGCTTTGAACCATGATCCTCCTGAGTAGGTAGAATTACAGGCATGAGCCACCAGCACCTGGCTGCTTGTTAATTTTTTTGTGTGTGGTTCTCGGGATCCAACCCAGGACGTCATGCAAGTACTCCACTACTGACCTACACCCTCAAGTCCTTAATTCTTTTAGTGTTAATATGAGAGCAGCAAACCTGATTTACACTGGGACTATTTCATTTGATACCTGAAAGTGAGTTTTTTCCACAACATATTTTTTTGTGCAACCTAGATTTTAGAATGTTTATTAGGACAAAGTACTTTCTAAAGTTTAACACAATGACTGTATTTTTTCAATTAAATATTTGGGAGTAGAATGTCTTTGCTTTAAGGAGGATTTATTATTTTTCAAAAGTGTCAGACATTGGAATCGAACACATTTTCTCACAATTTGGTTGGAAAGATAAGTTTGGGTTCTGGGCGTGGTGGCTTCATAAGCCTAGCTACTCAGGAGGCTGAGGCAGTAGGATACTAAGTTGAGGCTAACCTGAGTAACCTAAGTGAGACCTGTCTCAAAAAAAAAAAAAGTCTTAGAATGGGTAGCCCCACTATTAAATTAGATTGGTTTTATTTTAGACCCATCTATTTGTTCCTGTATTACTTCAGAATTGGCATCTTTCCAACTTTAGGACAAACAAGCCATTTTCAAGTTCTTTTCTACCTACTTATGAGTTGGTATTGAGTCTCCCAGTCTGTGTGTCAAACTCAGGATTTTCTTTTGTGATTTGGAAGATAAAAGTTCTTGATCTTACACTGTTCTCTCACTAAAGGCATACTAATGGTTTAAAGGTTAGCATAGAAGTTTTATATCTGTACATCTCTCAGGGTTAAAGTGAAAATTCAACTTTATTAGGAAAAATTTAATGTTTTGGCCATTTTTCCTCACCTTGAATTAACTACATTACATTTTATTGTTCATTCACTGAATCAGATTTTCATATACTTAAAGTTCTAAAGGCTTTTTTGTTTCTTTTGCATATATAATTAGCCCTTTTGATCTAGTCAAGTTCTTTAATTTTTTCCCAGAATATGAAATAAGATACTAACTTGCATTTTGTTTTATTGTTGTCTAGGATTACCTTTTTCCCATTATGGCAGAAAGTAGATTATTTCTAACTGCAGAGGTAGTCTCTTCCCTGAATTACATTTTTTTTCCCTTTCCCTAAGCCAATTCTGAGAATCACTACCAAATTTAGAGGTGCAGATGCAGGGGTCCTGATTTGCATTCAGTGGTTGGTCCTCTGAGAGAACAGTGCTTTTCCATTGCATTTTCCAAGAACCATGTCCTGGACTTAGGAGAACAATGTCACTTTCTTTTCCATTCTGTTTTTTTTTTCCAGTTATCCATTTGGGTAAAGATCTGTTTTATCAGGCTAATGATACTAATTTTTGTGTTTTTGGAGTTTTAAGTAGACTCTTTCAGAATGGTTGGTTTTAGATTTACAGGAAAGTTGGGAAAATGGTACGATTTTCATAAACCTTGCATTCAGTTTTCTCTTATTATTAGCATTTTAGTCTGATACATTTGCCATGATTAATGAACCATCACCAACTGAAGTCTCTTTACCGAATGTCTTTTTCTGTTCCAAGATCCCATCCAGGATCCCACATTACATTTATTTTTTATGCTTCTTAAGATTCCTCTTAACTGTGACAGTTTCTGAGACTTTCCTTGTTTTGATGACCTTGACAATTTTGATACTAAGTTTTAAAAATACCATGCAACTCTGGAAAACAAGGGAGACATAGGCAAAACCTGACCTGCCTAGAGTTTTCTTGGTTAATTTAACACTTAAATGCAAAGAATTCTAGGAGGATTCTTTCTTGGAATAGACCAAAGACTAAATTGTGTCTCTTCATTAATAGGTAAGTCTAATTTTGTCAAAGAGTAGGGAAACCTGAAATAGGGAGTTTGTCCCCTTGTTAAAGAAATGCAAGTCCAGATTAGACTGATCAGTACCACCTGTCCTCAGCCCAGCTCCCCATGTGGATTGGATTGTTTTAGTTGCTTGGTTGGGCTGTTCACTAGCAGCTGTTTGCTGAGTATTTTTAAGTCTCTCTGTTCTTTTAGAACACAAGCCTAATTTATCTGGCCTCTCAGTAACACTGTGATTACTGAGTTCTTGCTGTTGCCTTCTGCTCAGTCTTTTTCATTTTGGAAAAATTCAATAAAACCAAGTATTACAGTTTTAGGATTGCAATTAGCATTTGTTTATGTATTCTATCCTTATGAAGTTTCTCTTAAAGCATTCTCATTTTGGAAGTTTAGCAATACCAGTGGAGCATGGAGCAAAACATTTTCCTTGTCATTCTTTTTCCCTCTTGCACCAAACTGTGACAGTATAATGTTTAAATGTCAAGTTATGTGACTTTCTCAGCAGATACACTAGAATGCCTATAACTAAATGAGTGGTCCCTGTAAAGTGGTCAACTTGGAGGTTTTCAATGAAAACTGCTTTTGCTAATGTGGTCACAGTTTTAATTTTGGATTGCTGGTGTTATCTTTTGGCATATTCTTTGTTTTAAAATTTATTTTATTAGTGTATATTAATTGTACAAAAGAATGGTTTTCATTATGACATTTTTGTAAAGTACTTTGATCATATTCATCCTCTCATTACTTTTTCTTGGCAGTTTTTTTTTGGCAGTATTAAGGTTTTGAACTCGGCCTCATGCTTGCTAGGCAGACACTTAAGCCATGCCTTCAGGCTCTTTTTTTGAGAGGGCTTTAGTTACTTTACAGAAGGGCTTGCCTTTTTGCCTGGGGCCTAGCCTTGGACTGGATCCTTATATCTGTGCCTCCCCAGTATTATATGATGCACCGCCATTCTTGGTTTATTGGTTGAGATGGAGTCTTGCTGACTTTTTGCCTGGGCTGACCTCAAACCATGATCCTCTGGATGTCTGCGTCCTGAGTAGCTGGAATTATTATATACCACCACACTCAGCCCTGGCATGATCTTTTGACTGCTCTCAGTCATGATAAATTTTCATCTTTTGGAGGTAAATTTGACTTTCAGAAACATTTGCAAGTCAGAGCAAAGGAAGGGGAATATGGAAGGACAAAATGAGATTCTAATTTTTAAACATGCCTCAGATGTGAAGTAATGGAAGTGATTTTCTTGCATGATGAGAAGCTGGCTCTAAAAAAAAAACACATTCCAAAAAATATTTTGAAAAGAGAGAACGTCAATCAAACAAGAATGTTGCTTCCCAAGAAGAGATGACTGCTGAGTGCTGGGAAGAGCCACATAATTTCTGATAGAAACATTTAATGTGTTCTCCCTGGGCAGGAGATACTAGACGTGGGAATCCACTTGAAATTTAGCAAATTGTCTAATCCACTGGTGAACCATATATTTAAATCACTAAAAATGAGTTCCATAACCAAAATACACTCTTTTAAGAAGGTTTCTTTTGGAACCATTTACTATGCATGGCTTAATATCAGACTCTTGAATTAAATCACAAGGTTTTCAGAAATGGAAAGAACCCCAGAGATCCTTTAGGTTAACCATCTCTTCTTACAAATGAGGCAGCAAATGCAGTTAAATGACTAGTTCAGTGTCAGAACTAGTAAATGTCAGAACCAGGATTTATGTCAAGTCACTTGACTATTTAGAGTTCTGAATCACAGTTTAATAAATATTTATTGCTAGATACAGCACTGAATTTCAAAAATCACTGAAGTTTGGCTCCAAGCCTACTTTTAATTATGGTCTATTAACATTGCATACTTATTTCTGGCCCATTCATCCACTCTTGAGTGCTTACTAGGGGACAGGCACTTTCTTGGGGACATGGTGATAAGCAGTGCAGACATAGTCCTTGTCTTTATAGGGTTTCCATTCTAGTGGGAGATAATGATAGAAGTAATAAAGTGTGTGTGACAAATTTAATAAAAGTATATAGATGGTTTGAAGTAGCAGCTCAATAAAGGATTGCTTTGAATTGAAGGAAATAAAAATACCCTTTTGCTTTTGTAAGATAAACACTAATGGCCTCTTTTCAGAGGCAAGTATGTTTTCTTTGTGAAATCAACTGCTTCCTTGCTCTGGAAGAAACAAGTATTTTTGTAGCTGTGAGTTGAGCAACTTGCTCTATGTGGCATGTGACTGGGAAAAAGAAAAGTTAGTAGAGTGTGAAAAGAGAAAAAAACAAAAGACTCTGGGATATTTCAGCTCTTCAACCTTGTTCACATTTCACCCAGCACTTAGAACAAGAGAAACACGAACTGAGAAGACGATTTGAGAACCGAGAAGGGGAATGGGAAGGGCGAGTGTCAGAGCTGGAGAGCGATGTGAAACAGCTACAGGATGAGTTGGAGAGGCAGCAAGTCCATCTGCGGGAAGCAGATCGAGAAAAAACACGGGTTGTCCAGGAATTGTCAGAACAGAACCAAAGGTTATTGGATCAACTCAGCAGGGTGAGTCGTAAGTTAAGAATGTATGGTGTAAAAATTAAAAGTTGAAATGGAGCTTCTATGTGATGCCAGTCATGTATATGATAAGAGCCATTCTGATTTTTGATGCCTTTGTTTTTCATATCAACAAGTATCATCCATCTATAAGAACTTCTAGGAGTTGTGAGCCAAGACCCATGTTTGTGATTAACCAGCTGTAAGACTTTGACACGCTCTTAACTTGGGAGTGTTCTCATTTTTAAAATGAAGGACCTGTGTTAATGATTTCTGATGTTTCTTATACCTCTCAAAGTCTGTGATTCCTTTACCTGGAGAAAGTCTATTATCACTGGTAAAATTATGTTAATTCAAATAGTTAAAATATAAAAAGGGGCTGGCTGTCTTTTTTTTTTTTTTAGCTCAAGGCCTCACTTTACCTCTTGAGCCACTCAACCAGCTGTTTTGTGTTGGGTATTTTTGAGTTAGGGTCTCTTGAAGTCTTTGCCGAGGCTGGTTTAGAACTGTGATCCTCCCAGTTTCTGCCTCCTGAGTAGCTAGGATTACAGGTGTGAGCCTGGCTAAAAGGTGTTGTCTTTTATACTGAAAAATAGGAAAAATTTGTAGGGCAAATAATTTTCATTGATGTTGTATTTGTCAAAGTACATTATGAAAGGAGATATTGCATCTATATTTTTATTTTTTAAGGTTTTTTATATCAAGTAAAAATTCTTTACTTGTACCTTTATAGCATAGTGTCATGAAAGTTAATTAACTAAACAAAGTCAAGACTTTGCAATGGCAAAAAAGGAGGAAGAGGGCTTATTGGATAGAAACCTAATTTAAATATAGAATATACCTTTTTAAGAAATTCAGGAGTGTAATTAATGCCTTGAGTCTGTAAATCCACCTTTTGAAAATTAAGACTTGGATTTGTGCCAGGCATTGTAGTGCACATCTATATCCTGGCACTTGGGAGGCTATCCTGGCACTTGGGAGGCTGACGTAGAAGAGGATTGTGAGTTTGAAGCCAGCTTTGGTTAATTAGTGAGATCCTACACCAAAACACCAAAAGAAGAAAGAAAGAAATACCCTGAATTTACTGGATTTACTACTTGTACCTCAATCCTTGTGTGTTAAAAATAAAACCAGACAAAAAAGAGCTGCTGATTCCTAAGCACTGCCTGCTCCTTGTGGTTAGTGTTCATGCATTGTTCCTATAGAATGGCTTGGCCAGGACAGCATATGGTGAATTCCTCAGTCTTCCACCAATTTGATGGGTGACACTGTATGAAGTTATTTCACTCATTTGTGTCACAGGTGCTTCCCTTTGGTTGTGCCCCACAAGGAACTGTGAAATAAATGCTGTCAGTGGGGAAGGGAAAAGAAAGGGTGAAAGAGAAAGAAAATGATGCCTAATAACTTGGAAAATAGCAAGTTGCAGGACAATATCAAAATGTTTGTGAAGGTGAGGATCCTGGTGGTAGGTAGAGCTGAAAGTCCTACCTGCAGATTCCTTGTCTAGAGAATGCCATCATCATCATTTGAGTAGCTGGAGCAAGAGCCGGACAATTCCAGAAGTCAGTTCACAGGGCTGGCTCAGTAGCTGAATCAGTTTTAAAACCTTTTCCAGCAACTGGGAAGGGAATCTCTATCCGTGTAAAAATTTTATGGGTTGTTTGAGTCTCTTCATTCATTATTCATGAAAGATTAACCAGAGAGATCTGGCCAGGTTGATTTATTTGTTCAAAAAATACTAATTTTAATGCAACTCTAAGCCAAGTGTTTCCTATGGAGATACAGAATGAATGCAGCAAATCAGAACAATCAAAAGGGAAATTATGATTTCTTGGGGGCCAAACTCATGTTGCAAAGACAGACTCAACTCTGCTACTTTGTAATCTGGAGAAAGGTAAGTGACCAAGATGAATGAAGGAAGAAAACAAATGGTAACATGACGCATGAAACCACAGAGCTTGGAATTGATTCTCCTTCTCATTAACTGGGTGACCTTTTTTATGCCTCAGTTTCCTGTGTTTGAAATGGGGGTGTAAAAATTTGTGTCAGGGGCTGGGATGTAGCTCAGTGGTACAGCACTTGCCTGGCATGTGCGAGGCTCTGGGTTCAATCCCAGCACCAAAAAAGAAAAGACAAAAAAAAAAAAATTTGTGCCATGTACAAGTACTGTTGAAATGCAAATGGGGTAAAGCATTAAGCAGCATATGGAAGAAAGAATTCATGTTGGTGTTGATGGTTATTTACTAAGGCAATATCTTTATAGTTGTCTCCTTGCCTAATTTCACTATAGAAAATTCTGATAAACTGCTCCCAAAAGAATGTAGGAAGATGACATTTCCTGTAGCTCTAGATTCTCATTACCCTCTCTGGCCTTGAATATAGGCCCTTGGTGGTTTTGTGGCTTTTTTTCACTTTCTCTTCTGAAGCAGGACAAGTCCCTGGAGTTTCCATCAGCAGCAAGTTTAGATTGCATTTTATTATCATTTTATTAACTGGGTATTCAGGAACTAGAGGAGTTAAGTACTTTGAAGTGAATTAAGATTCTCTTAGTACAAGAAAACAGCCAGCAGAAGTAGTAGAAGGCATGCTTTTTTTGTAATATAATAGTGTGCTTTTACAAGCATGTAATGTATAATATCTAAAATGGATTGGAATATTCCTGTGGTATTTTTGTCCTAAATATTTTTACATTTATTTTCTTTGGCTGCCATGATTCCAAGGTTCTTAATAAAAAACAAAAAACAAAAACCTTAGTTGAGGTGTAATTCACACACCATAAAATTTCCATTTTAAATGTATAAAATTCAGTGATTCTTACCATATTTACAGAATTGTGCAGTCATCACCACTGTCTAACTAGAGGACATTTCATCTCCACCAAAAGGAACTCTGAACTCATTAGCAGTCACTCTTCATTCCTTATAACCTCAAATTCCCATGCCCTAACCACAACCACTGGCAACCACTAATCCACTATCTGTCTCTGTGGATTTGCCTGTTTTAGACATTTCATGTAAATGAGATCATACCATACGGCCTTTGTGCATGACTTCTTTCTCTTCGCATCATGTTTGCAAGGTTCATTCATGTTGTAGCTTGTATCGATACTTCATCTCATGTTATGGTTGAAGAATATTCCATTGTATGTGTATAATGTATTTTGTTTATTTGCTCACTAGCTATGGACATTTGAATAGTTTTCTATTTTTTGGTTAATGTGAATGACGCTGCCATGAACATTCATGTATACATTTTTGTGTGACCATGGTTCTTTTTAGCTCTAAAATAGGATGCTATGAGCAAATATATCCCATGAATTTCTGGATACTCATTACGATAAAGAAAAGGATTGATATCCTCATTTTATATCTGGGAAAACTTCAGGGACAGAAAGATAGTCTTTCAATTCAAGACTGATTAGATTTTCTATGCCTCCATTTCAGACTTCTAAGGCAGTAATTAAGATTATACTTTGAAACCACATAGCTCTGGGACCGATCATCAGCCCTGTCGTTTATTAACGGGGCAAATATAGGAAAGTTATTTTACTTTTAGTTTCTTCCTATGTACAATGGAAATGACCGTTTTATTATTATCAAGTAGTGTTATGAGAACTGAATGAGATAATGTGTGTAAGGCTTAAGTCTGGCATAGTAAGTGCTTAATAAGTGGTAACCATCATTATGCTTATTACGTCCTCATTACATAGATGAGATTTCTGCATCCAGTCAAACCTTGCTTCTCTTAACAGCAGAAGAATCTGAGGTGTAAAAGCAAAAAGTTATTGTATTTAAAAATTCATGTATTTTGCATTTTAACACATAACTGATCTGTGGGGTGTTGTGGTGGTGGTGGTCGTGGTGACAGGGTCTTACTATGTAGCCTAAACTAGCGTCAAACTCATTATGTAGTCCAGAGGCCAGCCTCAAGCTCCTAATCCTCCTGTCTCAGCCTCCCAAGTGCTGGAATTACCCATGTGAACCACCATGCCCAGCTCCATCTGCTTGTCTTAATGTGTCAGTGTATACAATGTTTAGTTTAGTAGTTAGAAATATTTGTGTAAAATTGAACCTCCTAGGAATTGAATCTGTTTATTGTATGATAACTAGTATCCCTAGGACATTGCTGTGTATATCCTGGGATTTCCTTTCTTCCCAGTTTATTTGCTCATTTGGACAAAATTCCACTTAAGTTCTTTTCCAGTTCTTAAGAATCTGTGTCACTTTTTGAAACTCAGGCTGACATATTTGAGGAAAATGCAATTCACTTTTTAAATTAAAGTAGCAGTGGCATTGACAATAGAGTTTGATAGGACCTGGATTCTCACTGTATCAAAAGCAGAAAGTCCAGTGGGAATTGCTATCAAGAAGAGAAGAAAGACATGGGCCATGCTTGTTGCTTAAGGTGAGTATCTCAGAGGTTGAAGTGGAGGATTTGTGGAAATCCTCCTGATACGTTAATGTGTCAGCTTCCAGAGATTTTCTCCCAAATAACAATAGTGAAGGTATGATTTCTAGTCAGTGTTGATGAGTCCTAAAGTGGTTGCTCATTGATTTAATCTGCCACACCTAAATAATACTGTTTAGGCATCATGGTAAATTTATAGAGCCTACTTGTACAGCTGAAAACCAAAGTGGTGTTTTGAATGTTCTAGAAAGAGTCTTGGACTGGTGGAGTGGCTCAGAGGTAAGAGCACCTGCCTAGAAAGTCTTGTTCCTAATAGTATGAGATCAGTAATGGCAGGCTTCTTGTTTTGTCTTTTTAGCCTTCAAAAACAGTTGGAGTAAGATATTACTTTCAAAATGAATCTCAGTAGTGTTAGAAACTTCAGTAAGAGGTAAAGGAAGGCATTCTCACAGTTTTTGCTAATAAAATACTATTCATACAGTCTTGCTAACATTAGGGACAGACTTGAACACCTGTTGATAAAAGAATGGAAAAACCAATTGATTTCTTCTGGAGAATGAAATTTAAAATTGCTTAAGGACTTCAGAGATTTTCCTCTCCTA